CTTGGGACTTGTTTCGGGAACCCCGGCCAGATATGAGAATGCCTGGCAGAGTAGCAGGCAGTGAACCATGCAGCCATGATAACGTTAGTACGGATACTGTTTTCTTTTCCATGCCCAAGGTATGTTTTCACACATCTCCACTGTAACTAGGAAGTTGATCCTACCGAAGCACCGGCGCACTATCTGGCGATCCAAAGTCTCCAATACAGTACTCTCGACACCAATATTACATGACGTAGGGGTGACGTGAAAGACGCGCCGTCGAGAAGTCATGCCATCTCTCCGGGGGGACGAATCCTACACTACACCAGAACGGGACTAACTGTCGTCCAGAGTGTTTCTGGTAAGTTCCATCCACACGTGACAATGGAACGCCGCCGCCGAAGGATTCGTTCCCCTGGAATGGGTGCAGGCGAGTATTACCGAAAGAATCCGTCACCATCAAATGCCGAAAAGTATCCACCGAAGCCAGAACGGCGTTGATCATGAGCCTCCGCTCTCGGATTTTTATCTCTGAGGCTGGACAGCGCAAACAGGCAACTTCCTGGCTCCCTCCGTTCAACTTGCTGCCTCGCTCCGCCCTGCTCATCCGCTTCGGACCGGCGGGGCCACGGAGCGGGACGGCACATCGGGCCCCCGACTCCCGGTCTCACGCCAGCACCCTCATCATTCTTCAGAAAGTATACCATTTGCAGAGCTTGATCTCGTCGAAGACCCCTACCATCCTCGGCATTTCCTCTCCGTGACCGTGACCTCCCATAACCAGGCCAAAGATCACAAGCCACTTTAACTCGCTGATACAGTCCCTTCAACCCGGTACAGCACACTGATCAGCGAGTTTCTGTTTTTACTTATCCGGACCGAACAGCTTAGCTAGCAATGCTTAACCATTCACCCCAGAGCAACTTCAACACTCTCAGACGCCACGCGCGGTCCCGGCACACCGGTCTGGCGCCATGCGCCATGTGGAAATAAGCCTCTTTCCCCAACTCGCTTCCATTGCCCCTTTTTGCGCGGTGATAAGCGAGCGAGCCGGCCGACTTGGCAAACCGGATCAGCGGGTCGGGTCCTGTTCCCCGGCGGCGCGTGGCGTCGTCGGCGTCCCGTTTGAGGAGAAAAGGGGGGTTCCCCGCACACCCGGCCGAGTTGTAAGAATTGGCGGGGTGAGAATGAGCATGCAGGCAACACAAAACGGTGCGCTTGTCATGGCTGGAGCTGGGGCGGAGTCCGTCTCGTTTGCTTTTGTCGCCATCATCAGATGTAGGTATCCAGTATCTACAGGGAGATGGTCGCATGTTGAAACAGGTCAATCCTCCCTTGCCAGACCCTCTTCTGCGGAAGGTCCGGTTCCTTGCTGTTGGAGGGTCAACCTCTAAGGTAAGGTACCTTAGGTATCACATATAGTTCTCGGAGAAGAGGGATGAAATGCTAGTGAAGGTCGACATTGCTAAGTGCACCAGGTGAAAGCCACTGTGATACGGTTCTTGGGGCAGGTTTCCTGCGCTTGTATGGTACCCCGGACAGCTGAAGCTGCTTCATCCTTCTATCCAGACCTGGCCTTGTCGCCGGCTAAGCTCGTTCCGGTGAGTCTTGGACTCAAGTAGCCCTTGTCTTGGTTCGAACAGTGCTTCGCCGTCCAACCAATGGGCATAAGACCGGAGGTATGTGTGCTTGTTGGACCTAGATGGTCGCGAGGACGCCGCATTTGAGCAGTCATCTGCATCAAGGCGGTCTCTTGACAGTCTTTCCAGAGTATGAGATGTATTTTCACCGCATTCCCTTTCAGTGCGAACGTCGGCCTAGTTTGGAGGGTCCTCGATGAATCACTTTCATCTGCTTCCGGCAACACCTTTAGCCCGTTGCTCATCATTACATTACTGTCACAATGAGCACACACAACTTGAGTCTTGTTCACCATTCTTATCAGTCCGGTGGAGGAGAAAGGGTGGTACGAGAGACGATGAAGGCACAAGAATGTGGTAAACGGAAGTACAGGGGTAAGTGCGTGGCGTAGTCGGACGTGATAGGAGTAGTCGAACTTGGGCAGAGTGAGAGGGAGAAGGAGAGATAGACAGGCAGCGTAATGTAACAGGGCAAACCAGCTACGAGGAGAAACGGGCTCGAACATGTTCTTTAGCACGCGGTATCGCTAGGCTAAGGAAACTCACCGGGTTGTTTGTTATGGGATATTGCTGTACGTTCTAGCTCTGGCTCTTCCAACAGCAACAGCCAGCAAGTTTGAAATTATTAGATATACCTACTAGAAGTATTTAGAGTTCGAGACCCTTTAAACAGCTTCGGTGAACATCTTTGCGGTATCACTATCATCTCTCCATCGATAACTCAAAGTTTGTCCAGCTCTCTTGTGATGCTGGATTGGCCCGCTCCTCAGGTCGGATAATGGAAAGCTTTGCTAGCTGTCTAGCACCACGCGCAGATACTATATAAGCTGGGGGGCCTTCGGTCGAGAGGATTTAGGCATTCCGACAGACGAGTGAAGTTCTGAAGAATATGTGATCTTTGAATCCACATTGGATTACAGACACCTGCGACGAGTTGGGCGCAAACAAATAGATCAAGTCTGGCATGACTATGTCCAATGTATGCGATTTGAATGTCTTCAAGTGAGTTCAAGGCATCCGCTCTTTCGCGGGGCTCTGAGGCCCTGGGCCAGTCCGAGCTTGAAGATAACAAAGTCTCTGACCATACGTGATTAACGCGAAGCTCGCGTAGCTGACGCAAGCACCTGGGTTGAGTTGTCCGGAGCTAACATTCCCCTGATCTTCGTCGCATATACGAAGGGCTGGGCTAAGCGGCTAAATGCCGAATTAGTGTCCGGCCTCTGGGTTAATATACTCAAGACGGCGCCCACATGCCGACGCTTGGCCTGCTATGTATTTAGCCATAAGCAGCCCGGGTCGCTGGTCCACATCCATGCGACTCTGGCATCGGATACGCCAGATTTTCATACTGCCACCACTACACATGGCCGGTTCAACAAGAAGTTGAGGCTGATTCCGCTCCCTTTGCCCCCGACAGCTGCAACGTTTCCCCACAGACCCGGAGAGTATGGGACCGCGAACAACGCCAAGAAGCGGAGATGTTTGCACATATAACCACTTGAGACGTGCTGGGCATTGGGATTTTGAAGGGTGCACTCAGCCCTGACTCTGACCGGGATTCAGACAGACCATCAACACGATGCTCGCGGAAACAGTCCTTACCGGCCTGCTGCTGCTCTCTGGCACCGCCGCCGCGCCAGTGGTGAGCCCCGTCGAGTACATAAAGCGAGCTGTGAGTCCCGGCGTGGTCATTCGGCAGTGCAGCACCCCCGGGATGCTTGCCCTGGCATATGACGATGGCCCCTACCAGTACACGTCACAGCTGGTGGACATCCTCGACAAGGCCGGCGCCAAAGCCACCTTCTTCTGGACCGGCACACTCTATGGCTGCATCTACAACCAGGCGGCCGCGGTCAAGAAGGCATTTGCCTCGGGCCACCAGATCGCTTCACACACATGGTTGGGATAAACCCCCCACCACCTCGGTCCTGAACCGCAAGACCGGAAGCACAACCACTCACACACACACGCCACAGGACCCACGGACACATGGGCAGCATGAGCGCGACGCAGATACGCACCGAGATGACCAAGGTGGAGGACGCACTGGTCAACCTGATCGGCAAGAAACCGGCGTACATGCGGCCGCCGTACCTCGAGACGGGCGGCCAGTTCCTGCCGACCATGGCGTCGATGGGGTACAAGGTCATCACCGACGACGTGGACTCGGGCGACTGGAACAACCGGACGCCGCAGCAGAGTCAGCAGGTGTTCCAGCAGGCGGGGACGAGCGGCAACGGCCACATCCCGCTCATGCACGAGACGTACCAGAGCACGGTCCAGACGCTCACGCCCTGGCTGATTAACTGGGCGAAACAGAACAACCTGAAGTTGGTCACTGTTGGTGAGTTTCACTTCATTCATTCATTCCATCCCGAAAGGGAGCGCTGCTTCCGCGGGAAAAGGGGGTGATACTGATAGTAACTGCTTACAGCCGAGTGCCTGGGTGATGCCGGCGGCATGTACCAGGCTGGAACCTTTACGCCTAACGGGAAGAACACTTGCTGATTGGTTTCGTGCTGGAGTGGCCGAAATGGAGGCAAGAAGTCGGGCAGTGTTGGTGAACTGTGATGTAGATGAAGGCTTCCGGAACCAGTGCGTTAGTATACCTGATAGCGACGTACATAGTTCGCTTCTCCGTGCATATTCAAGTATCCATGCATCAAGTAAAACGGGACAATCGCTTGGGGATGCGGACTTTGTATGATGGCAACAGCTCCCGTACTTACAACGCGGAGCTCATCCAATTCGCTAGAGAGGGGAAAGGGGCATGATCATGAACGGGCGAGTCTCGCAGAGAGGTACACCACATTTGCATGTACCTACCTGCAGTGTCCCTTTTAGAAAGTATTGTGATACTGATCGGTGTAATGGGATGCTATTGTAATTACTGGATAGGACCTTCGGCAAGATGCAGGACAATATCCCAAACACACCTGAATCAAGGCGCGCAGCTCCCTTTGGAACTCATAAGGCAGACTACATTATTCTCACTAAGCGGATGACGGGGCTTCATGTCGGGTGCAGTAGAGACCATCCGGCTAAATGCTCTACTGTGCTTGGTAGCCAGAGAAATCCGCAGCTAAGTCGGTAATCAAGACCCTTGGACCAATGCAGATACCCACCCACCTATGTATGGCACAGTGCCTCAAGATGGCGCCTAGTTGAGATCAACACGAGGCAGACAGACCGACCAGACGACTGGGACACGTTCCAGGGAGTAGGGAGGGAGAACCCGGCTCTAGAGAACGTACGAAGTATAGGCGAGGGGAGGATGTTATCTGGGAAGGTAAACGGACCACCACCTTCAATGGTGGTAAAAGTGAGAGCAAAGAATAGCTGATTTCTCCGAGGTATTCCGCAGCAAAAGTAAAGCCGCGACAACTACAAGATTCGAACTTGTGAGGGCGAACCCAACAGATGCCATGAACGTGAGAATTCAAGTCTGTCGCCTTAACCACTCGGCCAAGTTGTCATTGCAAGTTATATGGTGGTAATCCACTGAACATAGTACCCACCACCACTCCATATGATCGTGCTGTAGAAGTTGCAGCTCCCCCCCTCAGCCTGGGGACCCATCACATATCCTCATTCGACCTCACCTGTATGAGATGTAGCACTGCCTCTCGACTTTAAAACAAGACTCCAAAAAGCATATCGACTTATTTCAGGTCAATCATGTCATAACACACAGGGCTCATCCCCCTTTAAATGGCTGAGACCCATGAACTCTATCCAAGACCCCTCCGACGAAACTACCCGTCTTCACCCGTCCCACCACCATCCTTCGACTTCAGATCCTGCATCGCAGCCACGAGCACCTTCTTACACCGTTCACGGTACTCAGCCGCCAGCATCTGATTCCGATTCCCCGGCGATGGGAGCACTTCCTGCCCCTCATCATCATCATCCCCTTCCTCGACAGCCACCAGCCGCTGGTAATCATACTGCAGCTTCCCCGCCAGCATGTCCTTGACACGCCCAACCAACTCGGCTAGTTCAGGGGGCGGCGCGGCGGGGTCGGTTGTAGTAGATTTCTTCTCATCATTCCACCGCTGCAGCACCTGCCTTTCCTCGGGCGTCGCGACAGCCGAGGCGAGGTCGTCGACCAGAGCGGGTTCGAAGTGCGCGAAGCCGGGGAGGGTGGAGAGGCGGCTTGCCGAGGAGGAGGAGGCGCGGGATCTGCCTACCAGCGAGCTGGGGTGGGTGATGGGGCGAAGGGAGATGAGGAAGTCTTGCGGTAGCTTTGACTTGCTGTCACCGCCGTCCTGCTGCTGCTGACGTTTCCTGACGTGGACGTAATCGTTGTGCAGCGCCTCGGTCTCCGGGAGGATGAAGCCGTATCCCAGGAGCAGCTCGCTGTTGGTCTTGAGGCCGTAGTTATTGTACACCTGGTCTCCCGGGCCGTATGCGTCCAGGCAGATGAGCTGGCAGCAGTCGGGGTCGGAGGAGACGTCCCATGTGTACCGGGAGGTCATGGAGTGGTTGGCAATGTCGAACAGCGGCTGGAGCATGGAGAAGTCGTCTAGCTGGCAGTCCTCTGACATGAGAGCTGACACATGCTGCTTGGCAGAGTCGGAAAGGATAAGAGAAGGGCGGAAACTGCGGCTGGTGAAGATGCAGAATGCCCATTTATACAGCATCTGGGTATAGTCCAGCCAGCCGGGGAACTCGTCATCCTTCAAAGCCTTCCTTGCCTGCTTGAACTCCCGCTTGACGTTTGCCTGGATCTCCTCGATGGCGGCGTGGGCGTTTGTTCCCTCCAGATACGCAATGTCATCTTCCGCCCAGAATGCTGGCAGCGCCCAGGCGTTGACATGCTCGGGTTGGGGCAGCGTGGCAATGTAAGGCCACCAGAAGGAGTCCTTGCCCTTGAGGTATTCCTTGATCAGGAAGAAACGGCCAATGACATGGGGAGGGTTTAACTCCATGAACCGCTCAGGGAAAGCCGCATTTTGCTGCTTCAATGGTGATGCGGGATTGACAGGATCATCAATAACGGCGTTCAGGTACGAGAGTGTTGTTGAGACGGGGCAGGTGACTGCCTTGAGGGGCGCTGTGAGCCCAACGTTGACTGAGGGCTTTACACGAAGAGAAAATTTAGTGACATCGTCATAATAAATTTCTAATGATGGATGCAACGATCCGCCGTGTCGTCGAGACCACTCAACAAGCGCATCGACGCGGCTTTTGTCGGACTCCTTCATCATGGGCTTGATAGAGGTCAAGCGGAAATAAGAAGGGAACTGTGCCCGTGAAGCAAACTCGGCAACTTGGGCACCATCTTGCTGAGTCAGCCCTGCGATCTTCAGTGCTTGAAGTCAAACTTGGCTTCGGACTCGAAGCATATAGCTATGAAAAAAGGTTATTTGAACCGCCGTAATCAATGCGTGGTCATTATAGCATCTTCTGCTACACGATGCATGGTAAGGGGAAGACGGCGATGAACGCCAGTCATATCGGGACAACTGCCGTAGATGCGCTCCGGCTTGGCGATACCGGCCCGATTCTTGGCTCGGCCCCACAGGGAACAAATCGCCTTCGGCAATCGGCATCACCGAGCCGCGATATCTCCGAGAGATGCGAAATTATTCCTGCAGCACAAGAAGAAAGGAAAACAGCCGATTTGTACTCCTAGTCGACTTGAATCGCTTGATAAGGTTCGAATCTCTCCGCCTGTTGGACTCGGTAACCTTGGCGAAGCAGCGGTGTAATGCACCCCAGTTTGACCGTGTCGGGCCACCGGACCCTGCCGATCAGAGTCGTGACGTCGTAACGAGCTCGGGGGAAAAGTTGTACACCGACCAGGATTTGTCTGCCCACTTGACTTTAAATACAATGGAAAGTCTCCCGCATGTTTGCACGGTGCGATGATCTGCTCAGGCCCTGTCCGCAATGACAGATTTGCAGAAATGGCGGATCTCAAACCCCATTCCGACCTACACCAACCCTCCCGCCCGCAGCGGTCCGAGGGCGGTCCATCCCATGAACGATCGACCTCCACCTACGAGACCGACCATCCCACCACCACAACCACTCCGGACAACCGCGACGACAACAATACATCCGACACAGAAGAAGACGACGAGGACGACTATGACGGCTACCGCCCGACCCGTCTCGACATCCGGCGCTCACGCTCCCGCACCGCCAGCCGCAGCACCGCCAGCCAAAAAACCACCACATCGGGCACGAACCGCCCGGGCCCGGACCTAACCCGCACCCTCTCTCGCCGCACGACCACAATCCTCTCGCGCATCCGCTCCCGCCCGCAACCGGGCCCCCCGCAATTCACCCACCCGCTCTCCCACATCCCGACAGGGCCCGACTACCTCGTCGACTTCGACGGTCCCGCCGACCCGTACAAGCCCATGAACTGGCCTCTCCCGAAAAAGATCCTCACCACCTTCCTGTATGGCACCGTCACCATGACCGCGACGTGGGCGTCGTCGTGCTACAGCGCGGGCAACGCACAGATCGCGCGCGAGTTCGACGTCGGATCGCAGGTGGCCGTGCTGGGGACGTCGCTTTTCCTGATCGGGTTCGGGGTCGGGCCGCTGCTGTGGGCGCCGCTGAGCGAGGTGTATGGGCGGCGGCTGGCCGTGTTGCCGCCCATGTTTGTGGCCGGGTGTTTTAGTTTCGGGAGCGCGACGGCCAAGGATTTCCAGACGCTGATGTTGACCCGGTTTTGGGGGGCTTTTTTTGCTAGTGCGCCCGTTACGAATACGGGCGGTGTGTTGGGGGATCTGTTTGGGCCGGCGCAGAGGGGCATTGCGATGGCGGGTTATGCTATGGCTGTTGTGGCGGGGCCAGCTTTAGGTATGTTTTCTTTTGTGTCACCTTCCTCGTTTTCTCAGGATGTAAAGGTGTGGTGATGATGCTTGGGCCTGCTGGGCTGACTGAGCGAAAAGGTCCGATTGTCTCGGCTGCTCTGGTCATCCAGCCGAACCTCGGGTGGCGGTGGACAGAGTACCTTGCTGGCATTCTCCAGATGTTTGTTCTCCTCCTGGCGGTGATTTTCATCGACGAGTCGTATCCTCCCAAATTGCTCGTCTACAAGGCCCGCCGGCTACGCGTCGAGAGCGGCAACTGGGCTCTCCATGCCAAATTCGAGGAATGGGACGTCAGCGTTGTCGAGCTGGCCCGCAAGTTCCTGGTGCGTCCCGTCCAGCTGCTCTGCACCCCCATCTGCTTCCTTGTGGCGCTCTATGCGAGCTTTTGCTACGGGATCCTGTACATGCAGCTCGGCTCGATCCCCATCATCTTCGGTGAGGTACGGGGCTGGTCGCAGCTTGTGGCGACGCTGCCCTTCTTGTGCATCTTCATCGGGGCCATCCTCGGCTGCGGGTTAAACGTGTATAACCAGCTGCTCTACAACAAGGCATACCATGCTGCCGGGAACAGAGCGGTCCCGGAACGGCGATTGCCGCCCATGATGCTCGGCGGTATCCTGTTTGCAGGCGGGCAATTCCTCACAGGCTGGACGGCAAATCCGACGATCCACTGGATTGTCCCGTGCATTGGGCTCGTCATGCTGGGCACTGGCTTCTTCACCATCTTCCAGGCTGCCCTCAACTACCTGGTCGACACCTTCACCAGGTATGCCGCCTCGGCCGTCGCCGCCAACACCTTCCTGAGGTCGTGTTTTGCATGCGCCTTTCCCCTTGTGGTTGGGCCGATGTACCACAACCTCGGTGTTGGGCCTGGATCGTCAATCCCAGCAGCGTTCGCTACGCTCTTGATACCCGTGCCGTTTGTGTTCTTTGTGTATGGGAAGAGGATAAGGGCCGGATTCAAGTGGTCGCGGCCCTCCGTTTATTCTGGGGCGAACGAGAAGCGAGAAGCCTGATAGACGATAGAATAGATACCCCTTAACGATGATGCATGGATAATACACTGATGTTATGATGGAGCCCGGCATGTGGTTACTAGTGCACCTCCACCTCCATAGTCCTCGACAGCCGCTCAGAGTGAAGTGAAACAATGCAGATCGTGAAACCAGTGACTGAAGCGCCAGGAAACAACCAGTTCATCAACCCCGAGTGGCTGAGCTCGCGATAAGATAGGATCAAATCAAAAAAAGCGGAAAAAGAATGTCCCCTCGACCGGAATCGAGCCGGTGACCTTTCGGTATCAATAAACGTCATTTACAGCCGAACGTGATAGCCAACTACACCACAAGGGGATTGCTTGGTTGTTGACAGCGGGGTCGGAAGTGGAGCTGATAGTCCTAGAGCGTGCACTCCACCACAGCCTTTGGCTAGCAGCGACAGGAACGTCGCAATACGGGCATGGCGAGGTTCGGAGTTTTGCTTCCATTGCCCATGTACGCGGCTTAAAGGACGGGATTAGGCTCTATTGGGAAGTGCGAAGCTCCTTCGAGGCTCAGTAACTTCACTTACTGCGCCCGCCTTTCAACACCACCCAGGCCTCCCACACCGAGGGCAGCGGCCAGCTGGCAGCCTGGAAGCGTAC